ACATACACACTCCCACGCACGCACACAGACCCACACGCCCCCCCCCCACACACATACACACTCCCACGCACGCACACAGACCCACACGCACCCCCCCCCCCACCACACACACACACGCGCACGCACGCACGAACGCACACACGTAGGCGCGGAGCCGTCGGACGTAAAGTCTTTGATGGAAACACTGTAAAGTTACGAGAATGAAAAATCCTAGAAAATTTCCTCATTAGTTTACGACATGCAAGACTCTCTCGTCACTATCAAACTAAGATGAAAAGTACGCAATTAGATTACAATAATATTATTTATAACGAATATTACAAATATTACTAATATTATTTACATTAGTAACGGCGTTCCCGTCTTATGTTACTGTGAACGAGAATGTTTTGCAGTGCAGAATAAAAACATGATAATTATGTTTTCCATCAGAACTTTCTCATTTATACATGAGCGATCATAATATATGCATTCCCGTCATGTACAATAAATTTATATGGATTGGGGGAATGTGATCAATTTTAATCCAATTAGCAGCATTGTCACAGCAAATTACCATGTTCTTGTTATTGTAAGTTGGGTCTGCTATGTGTGTTCAATGTTGTTATACACACCATGCGCGTAAGAATGAAGATCATGCAAGAGAAATCTTGAAAACCAGATTTCAAAGGTTGAAATTTCACCTGCTGTTTCAGGATATCGACACTATTTCGCCTATATACTGTTTAACCTACGTTAGGCTTGTCTCTAACAACAGGTCACTCGAAACCGTGCATTAGCGTTGCAAAGTAGCGGCGACTCACGTCAGGCCGTATACGAGTAGGGCTGTACCGATCCACCGAAATCGAATCGGATCGCGATTTCTCATAATTTCTAGTCATTTGACCTATTACTGTTATTATTTTAATTATCAGCGATTTTGTTATATAAAATTAAAAACAAGAGCCGCAGAGCGTCTCTTGAATCTCTCCGAATATCGTGACCGTACGTCGAGCGGTTTAGATTTGTGCCCAACTGTTGACGGACAGACGCACGGACGGACGCACGGACAATCATGCGATTCTACAAGCTGCATCTGACTTCGTCAGATGAGCTAAAAAGCATGGATCTAATAGTTGGTTAAAATGAAAATGAAAATATACAAAATTAGATAACATTTCATTATTTTGGGAATCGAATCGAAAAGATCGAATCGAGAGGTGTGTGTATCGTTACAGCCCTAGTAGCGAGTCCACAATGCAGGAGCGCCATCGGATAAGAGCTTCATTATAAGCTGGTCTCTTCATTATAAGGTTCCCCTCGCGAGATCGCCTCTCACGCGTTTCACCACGAACAACGCGTAGTCAATACTTAGTCTAGTTAGTCATGGCTGTCGATTGGCGATGAACAACGGGACTGCCCACGGTAGTCCAACGTTACCCGGTGTGTGTGCGTGTGCGTGTGC